GGGGCAGCATGGTATCTCCTGGACAGCAACTGACAGCCCCTGGGGGGGGGGGGGGGGATCTCTTCCAGTTCTGCCCTTCCAGGAGGTTTGGGGCCGCAGCTTTTGTCGGCCTTTGGAGAAGTTGGTGGACATTGTGACTGAGTACCCCAGTGAGGTGGAGCACCTGTTCAGCCCCTCCTGTGTCTCTTTGCAACGCTGCACTGGCTGCTGTGGGGATGAGAGGCTCCAGTGTGTCCCTGTGGAAACAGCCAATATCACTATGCAGGTAGGAGCTGGGATTGTTCTCCAGATGTGTTAGGATTCACAGCATGGCAAGGGACTTGAACTCTTCTCTAGGCAGCTGGGAGCATAATTTCTAGAGCTTCCCATTGTCAGGATGTCCTGCCAATCCAGGAGACAAGAGCCTTAGAGGTTGGTTTGACCTATTTCAGGCCACTAGGATTTGTGTTGGAGCACTCAGAAGGCATTCCTGATACTCCATCTCAGCCTGACATAGGGGCTTTTCCCCACCTGCTTCTGTGTTTGGTCCCTTGGGGGTGGGGGGGGGGAGCTCTGGCATCATGTATATATGTATATACCACCAACTTCTCCTTTATACATATCCAGTGCTCACTAGAGGGGATTTTTCAGGGGCAAGACCTGCCTTCCCACCCTTTAGCTGCACCAGCCGTAGGTCATTGCTGAGGATCATATTGTTGGATCTCTTGCCTGTTGGCATTTAGAGCTGTTGACTATCAGGGCTCCTGAGAGGTCTGTTCTCTTGGGTCCTTGACTCCATAAGCACTGAGATGTTGGCTGGCAGGGGCAGAAGGGGTTGAGATTTATAGCATCTGCTAGTTCCAGGCCTTAGGGCCCCTGCACTCTTCTGATGAGAGACCTTAGGCTGGATGAATGGTCTGTGAAATCTTTTCTCCTCTACCAGGGCTGTGAGAGGCTGCCCTCAATCTGGCCCTCTCCCTCTGCACTGTTGGAGATCACTCTCTACCAGGGCTGTGGAGCTGGGGCAGAGTGGAGGGAGGGAGTGGGGAATGAATCTGGTTTGCCAACAAGATCTGATGGTGACTTGGTTCCTCCTTTTAGCTCCTGAGGATGAAGCCGGAAGGGCAAGTACCCTATGTGGAGCTGTCCTTTATTGAGCACCGGCGGTGCAGTTGCAGGTATGGACTGTCCAGGCTCATTCTTCTCCTGTGCAGCTATTTCATCAGTAGCAGAAGAGACCCTGCAGGTTCATCTTGCTGCAAAACACTGACCAACTTGCATTGTGGGGTTCCAAGGCTGCGCTAGCTCCTTTCTAAGTGGCTTGGTAGCACCACCTAATGGCCATGCTGTCATGAGCACTGGCAGCAGAGTGATTCTTCTCCAGCCTGCCTAATAGCTATGAGTACTGAAAAATGAGTGAAATCCCTGCTTCCAAAAGGGCCTATGATTTGTTTTAGTTGCTTCAATTCTGAACCTCTTAAGTGTAGTCTGAGAGAGGCTGAGCACCTGGACCCCCTCTGCTGACTTAAGGTGAAGTCAGTGCCTTGATGGGGGAAGGGGTAGGGGGAAATGCAAAGGAACTGGCTTTGGGTTCTCAGAATTGGTGAACGTTTTTGGACACATCTTCTTGGGTGTGAGAGTTGGTCTGGTTTGCTGACACTGCAGTGGACTGGTCACTAGCTCCTGGCTCTTCCCGATTATTTATTTTATTTTTTTCTAAATCCAGGTAGCAGCTGGAAAAGAGGCTAAAAATGCTTTTAGTGCTTTTTCTGTTGTGACTTTGCCTCATGAGCCATCAGTGGTGTTGACATAAGGATGTTTTCTCACTGTTGAAGTGGGGGTTCTGGAAGCTGGTCTTGATAAGCCATGCGCTCTGTCTGTTCTGGTATTTCTATAGCACCACTGCTAACTATGGGAGTGATTTAAGCACTGGCACAGATTATCTAGAGAGGTTGTAGAATCTCCATCCCTGGACGCTTTTAAGAGCAGATTAGACAAATGCTGGACTGGGGTAGTTTAGTCCAGGTTGATCCTGCCTTGAGCATGGCTTGGACTAGGTGAGGGCCCTTCCAGATTTTTCTTCCCTCTCCTCACCCCCACTAAAACTGTGATTTCCTAGTTGCCAGGAGCTGTGTTAATACTGTGTACTGAGTGTGATTTACCTTACTCCCTTCCCTTTTTTTCTCCAGGCCTCAACGGGACACATTAAAGTCAGGAAGGTAAGTGATGCCAGCAGGGATACTGGAGTCGGGGACTGTGGGCCCTGGCTCATCTCCTGTCCATTCAGCCCCTTTTTTCCTTTCTGTTTTTACAGGAGGAGACGCAAGGGCAGAGGCAAAAAAAGACAAGACAAGAAGAGATATAAAGACTGTGACCTGTAAGTGGGCATTAATGTCAGAGGAAGGGGCAGAGGCACTGGTTATGTTGGGTTATTCCTGTGGAATAACCAGGTCACAAGTTGGAGGCATTAACTTAACCATGTTACTACAGCTGTAAACAATGAAGGCTCAGTTTTGAGTGGAGTCTGCCTGTCCTAGAGCATTCATGGCAGAGTCTGGCTATGTGCTGATTATTAGAGCGCACCAGAGAGAGAAACAAACAAAATACAGAGCACTCCAAAAATCAAGAGTACAAAAAACTACCCCCAGGCTTAGCCAAATCCCTCTTAGAAGAAATCAGTCTTTTAGTGCATTAAATAGCCCTCAAAGGATAGTCCTGCTGAATTTTTTGAGTAGATTGCTACAAACAGTGGTTACTTCGTGACCAACAGAGAGCAGAAAGGGATAGCAAACGGAGGACAGCAAAGGTGGAGGGGAACACGGCTTTTGTTGATCTTGGAATAGAAGGTGCCTGGTTAGCTGTGCCCTGGGCTAGCAGGCACATGGCTTTTGACAACTGTTGCTGGGAACAGTTCTTAGTCTGGGATGCTACCTGGCTGCTCTGGTCAGGTGGCTTTCCTCCTCCTCGCCCCCACCCCCTGCCACCCATACTGTGCCTCTGGCTATGCAGATCTCCATGGGACATCTTATTCTGTCATGCTACTGCCATGCTGTGCAGTTGGTTTCTGGATAAGCTGACAGAGGTGGGGGCAGTGTGGGATGGAAGGAACAAGCAAAATAAGACTGTATTGGGATCTGAGAGCTAGTGGTGGTGGTTGGGTGTCCCACTGACATCCCACTAACTGAGGCTCACTGCTGAAGGACTGAATCTCTGGCTCCTGCACTGCTCCACTGGCCCTTCCCAGGGAAACCAGGAGACCTGTCTGCCTCTTTTTTGCTATCCCCAAAATTTTCCCTTTCAATTCTTCAGAAAAGGAGAGTTCTGGAGGAAACGGACCACTTTCGCACGTTCTCTACCAAGTGTAGCTTCTGAGACTCTGGCTTGAATTTGCTTTCTCATTCCTTTCTTTGTTTGTCAGTCACAACCTTAACCTAGTCCTTGGGTGGTGTCTATCTGCCTCTTTGTTTGGACTAGTCCAGTCTTTCTGTCCAGAACTTCTGCTGACTGCCACAAACATTCTGATATTGCAAGCCGAGTTGGACTCCTGTTACTTTGGATGCCACGGAGTGCAGGTCTCTGCTCACCTCTCCCACTGATGGCTATCTTGGCTGTAGCCTGCTGCCCATGATGGGCTAAGGGCTGACAAACTAGCACCTAGAGCAAAGCTGCTGTGTGCCAGTGCACAGGGGCAGATGTAACCCTGTGTCCCTTTGCTAGCTTCTCAAAGTACCTTTTTACAGCTGTTCATGTAAACCCTTCTGGTCCTCCCCTT